CGGGGGGGAGTAATATATTTCCCCTGTCCCCCCAAAAAATTTGGGGGGGCTAAAGTACCTCCAAGTTCTCCTTTGTGGTTAAAAAACCCCCCCTGAGCCCCCCCCCCCCGGCTCCTTCCGCCATGGAAAGCCCCGAATCCAGCCGTAAAGAAACCTGCCAATCATAGGTTTGAGGGGGATCTCTCTCCAAACAGTATTGGATGCGGAGAATGGAATGCTACGAAGATTCATCATCTATATCCCGAGGTGATGTAAGTTTACAGGTGAGCCTGTAGGCGCGCTGTGTTGCAAAACGCTATCACGAATACTGTTTCTGGAACCGTCTCAGAGCAACAAACAGCAAGCAGAGTCGTGTGATTCTCGGAAGAATTCCGGCTGCCTTTCAGAGCTCAGCAGTGCAACAAGAGGACAGGAAAATAAGGAACAGCAGCAGCGGCCGACCAATGGGAGTGGGCCTTCGCCTCGTCCCGCCCCCGTCTGCGCGCCTGGCCGGCCGCGGCTAGTTAGCCGACTTTCTCTAACCGGTTTCCACCGGCTTCTTCCGCCTTTCCTTTGCCCCGCCCTCCGTTCGCGCCTCTCCAGCCTTCTTCTTCGCCTTTCCCCCGCCTCAGCTCCCCGCCCACTGCCACACGCGTGGTCATATCGGCTCAACTCGTCCGAGCACTCCGATTGGCCGGGGGTTGGTGCCATTCGGCGAAAGGCGTTTGTGACGCGAGGCAGCCGAGCTTTGAAGGCGTCGGCTAAGAGGGGCGGGGCGTCGCATGATTGCGCGCTGGAGAGTGCAAGGCGGTGCTTAAGACATCTCTGCCCGCCCCGTCCCCCTACTTGCCTTGCGCGAACGAACGGAAGCGCCCTTCCTCCGCCTCTGGCCCCCTCCCACCTCCAGCCGCCTTTCCTTTCTGCCGTCAGTGCCGCGTTAGCAACAGCCCCGTCGCCAGCGGCCCGAGCTCCTCCTCTTTCGCCTTCTCCTGGCGTCCCCGTCTTGCTCTCTCTCCGGCTGCTCCGCGCCCTGTATGGTCCATCGCCGCCGCCCTGCTCCGGCACCACCTCCGCCGCCGCCTCCTTCTCCAGTTCCCTCCGGCTTAGCTCCTCCTGCCCCCGGCGGTGGCGCCCTCAGCACCGAGGCTGTATGATCAGGCTACAGTCTTCAATGAGTAACCATATTCCTGTGAGTAGCGGCCTCTTTCTGGTCTCCCCAGCCCAGCGCGTCTTTCTTCCTCCGTCCCTCCATGTTTGCCTCTTTGTTCGCCAGGTCTCCGCGCCAGCGTTTCCGAGGCGCGGGAGGGCAGGCGGGCAGGCAAGGGAACGCGACCCGGGGCTCCGTCTTCCT